GCAGGTGGCGGGCAAGGTATTGCCTGTAATTGTTCTGAACACGGCGACACTGGTAGCTCGATTGTGGGGGATCGGAGTTTCCGTCAGGCTGGACCAAAGTTTTCCCGCGGCGCTCTCGATTCTTCGTGCTTTTACCCAAGCATTTATTGATAGCTTTATGCAGGATTGGGCAGTGGAATACGACTGATGGCTTTGCGGCTGGTAAAATGGTATGGAATCTTTATAGCTCATTTAACGTTACCCAGGGGACACGTGTGATATATTCACATATATCACGGACGCGAGCCACTCTGTCCCCCTAACGGATAAAACAAAGGATTAAAAGAATATTGAAGGTCTCTTCTTCTTTAAACTCTCTGAATTTTCGAAAATTTCAAAAGTTACAAATAATGCGGATAAGAAGGTGCTGTTGTATCACTAATAGTTTTAATTGTTAGATTTAAGTTATGTTTAAAATCACTTTATTTAAATAATCTTTGTCCATGTACTTGTATCGAATTCCCGGTAGACAAAAGTTACATTTTGTCACCCTAAGATATAGTTTTCTTGCTAAACAAGTTACTTGTAGGTACTTCAGTTTTGGAACTAAGACTTACATGTGTGTTAAAACACACATGTAAGACACCTGACGTTTATTAAATGATAGGATTAGAGTCAGGGTGGTTCCGGCCAATCATTTGGGGAGGCATCATAGATTTTTGTTAAATATTAAACACATTTGTTTTGTATTGTATATTATTTTGTAATACAATACAATATTATTTTTTAAATACTTACATTATTCTACCATAAACAAGTACTTAAATCAAGTTTGCCAAATGAAGGCAACAAACGAAAACTATGCCTTTTGGGAGAGCATGCCCCCCCCCCCTGATTAGCTGGATCCGCCACTGAGTCTACAGTGAAAGTGGCAAGATGCCAATTTGGTACTGCCTCATTCACTCTACCATTCAACAATTGATTGTGTTTCAGATATTTGAAAGCTGTCTGAAGATACAATGTTGTGCTGAATGGGTAAGGGGCAAGGCACCATCTTTTCAGTGATTTCTATTAATACAAGTACCAAGTACCTCCGTGAAAAAAGTCATTAAATGCATCCCTTTAATTAAATATTTGGTACATCAACTATTATATGTATTTTTATGCTTGAGAATTATTCCTTCCTCTCTCAAAACAATTAAACCCTAGCCATATATAACATTGATGGTTTGATTATATTTTTCATAAATTTGTTAACTGTCTCTGTATTGCCTTGCTAGAGGATCAATGCAAGTCTGCAATGTACAAATTTTTCTGCATTCCCTTTGAACAATAACCACAAATTTTCAAACTAAAATTCAGAAGTGAAGTTTATTATTCTTTTCATATTAAACTCTTTCTTTTATTAAAAGTCTGAATAAAGAATCTCTCATGCCCTTCCTCTTCGTGTCTTGAAGTCTAAATAAATTAGTGGAGCTAAAACAGCACGTTCTTTCTCACCTGTAGTAATAGTTATGCAATTCTATTTATACTACAATTTCTCTCCGAATTAACACATCTCATTCAATTTTTTTGTAAAACTCATTACAAATAGTTGAACATTTGATGCAACAACCAAATATTTTCAAGCAAATATCAACACAAACTTGACAATTATAACTGTTTTTCATACAACTTCCAACAATAATACATAATTCACAGAAATTAGTTTCGGAGTCATTGTTGCCGAGCCATTGTTGCATTACACCCCGATATTTCCTAAAGGCTAGCAATGTTTATTTCATATATTTCAAATAGGTTTTAAATAATTTCTAAAATATTAATTTGTAAATGTACAACAAAAACTCTCATGTAAAAAACTAACAAACAAACTGCCGATCCGGGTAGCCGAGATCGCTTAGGCAGTACTACCGTGGCGGTCTCGGGCCGAAGGATCGCGGTTTCAAGTCTCGCCTCGGGCTAGCTTGTATTTGTGTGTGTCGCTGTATTTTGTGATTATACATTTCATTCATCATCATCATTATCATTTCATTTCATCCCTCAGGGCTAACAACCCTGGGTGTAAAAACTGACTCAACATGAAAATGTTGATTCCCCCCATAAATGTCACGTGCACCTACCTTCGATAAATATGACTGATCCCCGGTGGGTAGTTTCGCGTGACGCCGAAATGGCCAATTCGCAACCCAAAAAAATACAAGCACAGTTAATGCAGACTATTTTTGTCGCCAAAATACACAAAAAATACTCATATTTTCAAAAAATTGAACATTATTTGAACATTTGTTTTTGATTCATACATTTCGTTAAGAAACAAATGTATCTTTACAATTGTAGTTGTAGGAAGACGCCGAACATTTTAAATTAATTTTTAATTTTCGAAAAATCAAGCATTTTATCTAAGCTGAGACCTGCACCATTCTCTTAAGCGTCCTTTACGCTAAGGTCCAAAGTTAATCAAAAATTTTTTAAGAAAAGTTTTAAGAAAAAATAGTTTAAAGACAATACAAATTGCCTATGCTTTAACCAAAATTTCGCACAAAATACTCATGATTTCCAAAATTTGAATATGACATTATTTTTAGATCTGTTTTTCATGAACAGATTTCACTAAGAATTAGTGGTGCTACAGAATGACACAGACTTTCCCGAATCAGTTGTATATTTCCTTTGGTCTCTGCTAGCTATACGAACTTACCACATACTCTTGCCAGATTGCCATCTACAGCCGCCAAAAATATATTTTTTTGAAATTTTCTTAAGTTTTCGATTTTCTAAAAGTATAACAGAAATATTGTTTCAAGAATATTAAAAAAGAGTAAAACTTCATAAATGGCAACTTCCTTTGAAAAATGTGCAGCCGGTTTTAAGCAAATTGCGCTGAGCCCTAATATAAATTCGAAATTTGAAGCTCTTTTTCACAGAAAATGTTTAAGTTTTTGAAAAACATCATTAAAAATCATTTGATGCATTTTAATTCATATATACAATAGTGTTTACAAATTGCTGGTAATGTGCATATTAACGGCGTGAGCGATCTTTCAAAAAAATTACATTTGTGTAATTTTTGAACACAAAAAAATACTGCAAACTAGATTTTGTGTCATTTTAAACAGTGCAATGGGCTCTAGCCATACGAACAGTTTTAGGAAAAAATTTGGAATTGTTTTTAAATAAAATTACGTTTGAGCGTTTTTAAAAATGCGGAATTTTGAGACAGTTTTTATAGAAAACAGTTGAATTTTCGATAAACATTATGACATTATTTAAAGCACATGTACTCATATATACAATAATTAACCAAATCGCCACTAATGTACATATTAACGAGGTATGAGTTAAGTAAAAAAAATACATTTTGTACTTTTTGAAAAAACAAAAAAATATAGCAATATGTGTCTTGGTAATATGGGTTATGTCATCTTCGAGAGTACATTTCGAACTATCCCTACCAAAGTTTAAAGAAAAAATTTAGATTGCTTTTGTATTTTTTTAATTGCAAATATTGCACGTTATATTCCGCGAAAACTATTAAAAGTTTCCAAAAAATGTACATGGCCTTATTGAAAGAACTATTTTTTTTTTAATATAATTTGATGGGAAAATCTGGAAATTTTATAGTTGTAGGAAGACGCCAAACAAAATTAAGACTTTTGAAATTTTCGAAAATTTAGAGTTAACCGTGAAAATCTTACCTATGCCACTTTTTTAAAAATATGCTACTCTATTCTTACAACAAATTTAAATAACAAATTTGGGGTCGTTTTTGAGAAAATTTTGAAAATGACAGGATGGCTTTATGTAAAGTACCCCCAAGCTTATTATGCCATTATTTTACAGAATGTGTTTTCAAAATCTCAAAGCTTCGACTCGAGCCAGATGGACAGGGGTTTCTTCAATTTGGAAAAAAATCCTACGCATGGTTTAGGAGCTAGCAGTGTTCACAGACGGACGGACAGACAGACGGACGGCTGATTTTTCGGTATCAAGGACCCATAAAACAGGAATTCTAGAAACACCATGTGTTAGATTATTTTTTTCTTCTTCATTTAGCAACTGGATTTATTCACTTTTTACTATCCCGTATACGTACTATATATGAAGTAAACACTTTGCAGTATTTCAGTAAAGCACTTGAGTGTGTGGACGTGCAGATGTGTATTTTTGCCATTCCGTCACTGGCATCGACTACTTCTCTTGCACCAATCGAGACGTATTTTTGTATGAGGTGTCATCCAACGCGTCTCGGTGCCCTGATGGGGAACTGATAATTTATTTTCATATTCCCCCAGAACATTTAAAGATATTTCCAAAAACTATCTCACTATCTAGAATTTTACAGTTACATGTCAGATTTCAAATTTACAGTGGTGCTTACATGCCATTTTCTTAAAAATGGCTCCAAGTTTTTCAAAGAAAATTGCCATTAAGTATGAGCGGTGTGCAAGGAGCATTCAAAATGTGTAGCATTCAGTATACATGGAAAATAACGTAACATATTAACTTGTGAAAACTGCTAATCATGTTCTAAATTTGACAAACAATAATTAATTGTTCGTCTATTTGGAAAGACATGAAAACTGAAAAATTCTCTAAGAAATGGTAATGAATTGGCAATCCAATAACATCTTTTAATTCAAATTAATTGTCCTAAACAGAAGCATATGTAATAATGTAGAGATTCCTAGACAAAAATAAGATTATAAACCTGCTCAAATTTAGTTCTCCTGCAGCCAAATCAATTTGAACATATTTCCAAAACAAATATTTTTCGCATGCAAATTCTCTATTTTATTTGAAAAAACAAATATGTATAATTAATATAAATAGCGTTTCTTACAGTTCTACGGAATAGGCAATTCAAAGAAGGAACACACTTAATTTTTTTTCATTTATAAGGTAATCAAATAATACAAAATATTTTTTCAGATAAACTGTTTTATTTATTTCAATGTTTACATTTGTCATTACTATTGGCTACAAAGAAAAACAATTTTATTTTTTTATAAAAATGTTACATTTTACTTTCTCATCCTTTCATTGTAAGAAGAAAATGTGGTAAATATAAAGTTTTGTTTAATTTTATATTTTAAAGCCACTGTCGTCTTTAGTTGAGCAGCTTTACATTCCAGCTGATCCTTTCTTCCAAGATCTGTAAAGGAAAATGAAGTATGGCTTTAACATGCTGGGGAGTAAAAATGCAGTCCTTAAATAACAGACAGGTAATCTTCTAAAAACAAATAAATACTTCTGGCAGAAATTTCCCTTGCATGAAAGACTTGGATGCAATTGTGGATGATGCGTCCTGTGGCTTGTGGCTGCATTGTATGAACTTGTGGCTGCATTGTATTCGTCATTATTGCAATCAGAATTACATCTTTATTCTGTAATTTTTGAATTCATTAAAATAAATATGTATAATTTTTAAAAATCTAAAAATCATCCTTAAACACTACATTTTTTAACAAACCTTATAACTTAGCAGGTGGCAAATTGATGTTTCTCACAAAGGGCCTTTTTTTTCTAAAGGAAAAAAATACTCTTAATTAATACAATGCAAGTAGGATTAGAAAGACATTGTATTCCTGATATTAATTATACATCTCTTGGTGTCAATTGGAAATGGGCTGGGTGAGCAGAAAATAAATTTGGAATTGGAAATCATTGGAATAAATTTGGAATCCCTTAATCAAGATCCGCTGGTATATGTTGAATTTATTTAGTTTGAACTGAAGTGAAGGCTACGTAAAAATGAATATGAAGTTGGAATCCATTTTCTTTCCTCACAGCTCTAATCCATGCTTGCCTTTTTTCTTGGTCTTTCTCGCTGGGAAATCTAAACATCAGCAATGAAAGTCACAAACAACTTTCCAACCACTTATGATCTCATACTTATAAATAACACAGATGTAAATAAATAAAATAGTTCTATAATTTATTAATCCCCAAATTGAAATAGAACTAAATGAACTCATTTACCAGAAGAAAGACAATTTATTAGTGGTTTCCTGCAAGTAAAGCCATAAGCAAGCAGTACAGGCTCCCATTTTATCACCCTGAAATAAATGTCTGCTCAAACCCTTAAAAAGAAGTTAAAGGGTAAAATGCATATGTTAATATATAATTAAAATAAGTCTTGGTTTACTATGTTCACTTAGGTCTTGCCCTTATTGTGCAAGATACTCACCTTGAAAAATATACCTCCAAGCTTCAAACATTTTCTCAGGCAAAAATGTTTATTAAATAATTTTCCCCAAGAATAAAAATAAATAACTTATAGTAAATTGGAAAGCAAATCAATAAACCAAAAGTTAGTGATTGCAAGCCTGTACACTGAAAAGCACTGAGAATGTTTTGGGCAATAAAACATGGCAGACAGACCAGCGACTGGCTTCACTTTCTAGACCCGATGCCACCTCTATATATTATAACCTCCTTGGTATAAATATATATGCTGTGGTAAAATGATGTCTTCAGAGTTAAATCTTAGTAAGAGGTCAAAGAGAAAGTTGCATCACCTCTTTGACTTTGAGAGTAAAATTATTGTTTATGTAGCTTTATCTCCTATGAAAATATTTTTAATAATCAACAATTCATTTCTTTCATACAAAAGGAATAATCAAATATTTAATTGTAAATAAGAGAGGTCTGACTGGATATTTTCACACATCCTGCACTTTATTAGCGATTGTTACAAATGGGATATTAATGCATCAAAGGGTGTTCTAATGACTAAAAGGTGACAAAAAGCCCAAGAGATTTATTGTTGCCCAAGATCATTAGAACAAGTTAATGCCCATGGTACATACATGATTTTATTTTAACGATTCAGATTTACTAATTAACTAATGTTACCTTGACTCACTTTGTCTTTTCATATTTCCCTCCCATAATTTCCTTTATACTGAACCCAGCTTTGATTGGCCAAGCCCAGAACCCTGCACGACTCCATTTACCCATTCATAATATTGATATTTATACAGTAGTTATCTTTTGTATTGAAAAATTCTAAAAGACTGTTTAGGCTGGCTGTAACTACTTAATCAGCTCCTGGGTCAACTTCCCCCAATCTAAATATACTATTATAGTTGTTGTTTTCGTGATACATTGAACAAATGGTAAAATGTTTCTTTATTTGGTCCTGAATACTTAATGTCTTCGGTTATAAAGTAACATTACCTCTATGACTGTTTTCTCCTATCAAATGGAATGTCACCAACAATTAATCAATCAAATTAATAGGTTTAGTGAATGAGTAAACATATTAGTATTTGGAGGTGTTTATTAACAAACACGAGTTAGACCAGTGTGTCTAAACAGAATAGAAGCTTAGCAGCGTAGAACTTAGCAGCATATCAAGAGTCGATTTCAATTTATATGTTTTGTAATACTGCATGTTTACATGCAACACATCTGTGCTAGTGAGCGAGGATACCTAGAAGACCTAAACTTCTAAAAATATATAAAGGTTGAAAGTAGAAAATCTCATTTTGTTAATCACCCCGTAACAATATGTGGCTATCATGGCGCGAAACCCCAGGATGAAGGTTGAAGGTTGTACTTTTTTGAAGATCTGCATCATGTATAACATTTTTTGAGGTTTGCATTTTTGCCTGTGAAATTTTTCCAAGTATAATCTATAAAATTCTACATTTTTTGCCTTAAAACTGTTTGATGCATCTCTCGGGGGTAATTCCTTAACCAAGAGTAGCATATTAACAGGGTTGTGTGACATCTTATAAATCATATAAAACTATCACCTTTCCTTAACATTATATGGATGGGTTAACAAAAAACAGAAAATACAAAAAATTAATAAAAGATTACAGGCAACATGTGAACATTAATATCTTTAATGGAATCTTATTTCAATACAATTTGTGATCATTATGAACAACAATCACAATAACAACAGGCAAATTTTACAATACTTCATGAAGATGAAAGAATTGGTAGATACAAGTTATGTAGATATTCACTGTATGAATTAAATCTGTAATGGAACAATAAAATTTGGAGAATCTGCTGCATGTTCATGCTCATTTTACTGAATTATAATAACTGGTTATTTATTCTCTCAAAATTCAGTAAATAAAACAACAAGACAGGTTATTCAATTTTGCAGTTTATAAGTTTCAAGTTGTTAAAACAAGTTAGTATAGCTTTTGTTGTTGAAAAGACAAGATACAAAATTAATTTTCATAGACCATTCCATTTCCATAGGATTTTTTGAACTTTTCAAACTATTTGCCATCACAAATTTTACGCAATTTGTTGCATGTACTGAAGAATGTGTAAACTATAGTCTTGTACGCCCAGATTATGATTACAAGTTAATAATTTTGTCAATTTCTTTTAAGATTAAAATGATAATAATGGTTACAACTATCAAATTAACAATATACTTTAGATTTTAATTAAAGTATAAGTAACATTTCTCAAAAGTTATATTTTAAATGAGTTTATTTACTAATTTTATTTTAAAAATCAACACTTTTTGCATACAGTTATCTTTTAGATAAAATAAATTAACTACAAGCCAAATGATCATGTCAATTTGAAATTTCTCTAGAACAGTCCATTAAAATGCAATTTAATTTGTAAAAACATCAACATTCATAAACATGAAGAGTATCAAAGGGAAGTCCTCTCAAAGGCACTTTAAGAAAAAAAAGTCAAAATTGGAATGTTATGAATAAAATCACATAATACCGAAAATAAATTTCCTTGACAAGTTTGTCAAGTACATAATTTAAGGGCGAATGTTAAAAAAAAATTACTTAGTAATTGTCATATGGTTTTTTGAGTTAAGAAAAATCTTAACTCGTTTCACTACAAACAAGACTAAGATGAATGTTAATACTTTCTGTGGTAGTAATTAACATAGAGGCTGTTTGTTTCTATTCAATGAACAATATCGTACATATTTTCATATCACTACTACTCAATAATATTTTAGAATACAAAAATACTTAAATAAGCAACCATTCAATGAAGTTTAGGGTCAGAACCATGGTATTGAAGCTGTATATACCTTAGTAACTGAGAACAAAGAGAAGAAGTGTTTGTTCAAAACACTTCACAGAAAATGTTAATATTATGAAAAGGCACAATATAATTTTTTTTTTTTTTTTTTCATTTACGATTTCAATGGAAACATTGAATGATTTATTTTAAATACCACTGATATCTCTAAATAAAATCATCAAATAAATGTAGGACAATAAAAACAAGAATTGGCTCAAAAATTTCTTCAATTTTAATACTTCCTTAAATATTTGTTTTCATTTTCAAATCCTTGACCTCACCCTGACATCAAACTAATGCTTCTAAGGTTATTTAAATTCACTCACTTATTGCAATATTTTAATATCTAAATTTAAGGGTGTTGTATTGTAAATCATATTTTTCTGCCATTGAGCAAACTGAAATACCATATATGGTATATGTGCTCTGATCACATCGTGCACATTTAGATTTACCCACATTGCAAATAATTAAACAATTCAAGCAGCATGGAAAATCCATCCACATTATTGGGAATTATATTAAAGAGTTTGTTTTTTTCCTTTGAGCTAGTTTTTTATTTCTGTGTGTCTACTTCATCCTCACAAGGCAGACAATGCTCTTAACCTATGTTTTGCTTACAAAGAGAGATCAAAATTTGATGTTTCTGATACATTAGAACTTTGTAAGAAAATTAAGAATGTTACTACCTGGCATGTCAGTTGTTGGTATTTCGGCAACTACAAAGGGTCTAAGTTGATCCATAATTTTAATCTGAAGGAGTGTGCTTATTTATACACATGTAAGTAAAATTGAAATAAGAACTATTATAAAGTACTGCAAACTGAAATATTACCTCAAGGAATTCATTAAATCAGGCTAACAGTTCCTTTAAATCAATAATAGATCGATATCAGAATTTTAAATTAAAAAGAGAGTCCTGTTATCATGCACTCAGCACAGGAGCCAGCACACCAAAAATAATTTAAGAGAATGTTGATTTGGTCCAAGTGACATGTTTCAAATGTTTGAAGACTTACGGCAAAGTTTATAATAGAACAACATGTTTACTGTAGTGTGTGTGTAATAAATTGAACCCATGAATAAGATCCCAAAAATGTTAAAAGTTGATCAAAATATTGGAGAATTTTTGAAAAAGTTTGTGACAATAGATAAAACATAGATAAACCACCTCAGTCCAAAGTCGAAGGTAGGAAGTAAGGAATATTGGCATTAAGGCTTACCATCTCCCCAAAAATGTCAAGTCAGTTTTTCCATTGGATAGGCAGTACAATGACAGTTTTTCAGAATTTGAAAATAGTATTTTTAATATTTACCATGTCCACAGCACACACCAAAGAAGCCATCATTCTGTCAATTTTGTAACAAAAGCTATTGAAGCAATCAAATCTACCATCCAGTAATTTTCTAAAGACCTAGGACTTTGTCATGGGACACCACGTGAATTAATTTTTAAAAATTGTGTTGAAAAATATAGTTGTTTAGCAGTTTTAATTAGTTGCTTGTATCATTCCAGGATCAAAAATTTTAACTACATTTATAAATCCTATGTGGCACATAATGCAGGCAATTCTCTCCTTGTCTCAGTTTTAATATCTGGTGAACTTTATTATCAGTAAATAATTAACATTTTTAATGGCCTTATCTTTTGATTAGTAGAGACACTGTGCACCTAGCGACCAAATGTGATCAGGTCCATTTGATTATGGTTTCATACCTTGATTTCATTATTTATAATTACATACCTTTTTTTTTTTGTTTCAAGTCATCTTTAATTTTCTGTCTTCATTTTAGCATTTCAAAAAACTCTTTTCTTGTTTCAATGTCACATTTTCTTCATTTTGCACAAACAGGAGTTATTATACATGTCTTTGCAAGTATTTTTACCTTTAACATTGCACATGTCATCGCTTTAACTTGGAAATACATAATGTAACAATGACGGTATTTATTTGCTTAATATAAATAAAACTCGTTATGCCATCAAAGAAGGAAATGGAATATTAGACAAAGAAGAATTACAATATACTCAGTCGTATGTTGTTGTTTCTGTGTCATTGTGTTATTTTCATTTTAATTTATTAATCCCATTCCTAAACTGTTTTCTACACAATATGTATTACATACATATTCACAAAATATTTCAGTGAGAAAACTGGTATTATCACTTCTTTTGCTGTTATCTCACCAGTTTGTCATCGTTTTATAAATCTTTCAACATTTTTTGGACAACTCAATTCAGGCCCTGTTTATCACATTATTGATAGGCATGCATGTCAGAATGGCAGAGGTAAATATCTTTGAAAATACTGGTCAAGGTCTTAGAAACCTTTCTCTAAAAATTTGAAATGAGATATTTTCCAGGAAGGTTGATTGAAAACAAATTTACCTATTATGTTAAAGATTGCCCAAACACACTTTTTAATAAATATATTTCTGACTTTATATCACACATCATAAAATTAAAAGATTTAAATTTATATTTGTAAATTAAGAAGTAATGGTGGTGGCTGAGCATTCATGAGTTGATAATAATGAGAATAATGTGGTTTATCCACATACAGGCGCTGACGGAGTGTACCCAGACTCTCTTCACTAACATACACACAGTCACTGACTAGCAGGGAAGACAGGTTTCGGCAGTATTCACCAACAACTCTGTGAAGAAGATTATGAATTAATTCACTTAGAATGGGTAATAAACAGTGTACACTCTTCAGTAAACACTCTAAACAAAAGTCTCACATGTATGCAGCAGGTAAAAGGCCGAAGTCTAGTAGTATACAGAAAATCTCACAAACATTAAAAAGGACAAAAGAAAATTTAAGATCTCAAAACATGTCCACTGAAGTGAATTACTGAAAGGTTGTTTTCTTATAATTGCCTTATTTTATGTAAAATTATGTCTGCAAAAAGTCATTACTCCTTTCATAATTATGTGTGAACTGTTCTTTAAATATGTACAATATGCTCTACTTTTATATTATGATTACTACTTTGTTTACACATTAATTTTAAAGAAATTTACAAAACATTAAATGTGCACTCAAAGTATCTGATTATTGTTTTTTAGTCCACCTCCTGGAATGTGACTTTTTAATTACAGAAATAAATAATCAGAAGAAATTTATTTTAAAATAATTTTAATACAACCTGCATACAGATTTACGCAAACAATCCTTTTAAAAATATTCCCTTTTTAATGAGGAACTACCACTATATTAAAAGAAAGGTAATAGTGATATCAACATTAAAATCGTGTAACTTCCCACAAGTAATATTTATTAAAATTAAACTAATGTAATTAATGAAACACCAACAATCCAACACCAATTTAACAATGAAGCACCAACAATCTTATCCCCATGATACTCATAAAGTACATACCTTATACCATTATCTGTAACACGCCAGCACCCTCTTACATTTAAATGTTCAAGAAATGGGCAATTGCCAGCAGCAGCATATAATGTAGCATCAGTTACAGAATAAATGTTGGCAATGCAGAGGACACGCAACCTACAAATCGAAACGAAACCCTTTTGTAGTCATAAAAAAACAACACTTAATTTAAAATGCCTTTCAACGTGACATACATTTTTATGAACAAAGCTCATTATTATTATTAAAATATTATATGCACCTTTAATGTTCTATTTTATCCATCTCACAATAATTCAGACTTATTTTAGCAACAATGTATATAAAAAAAATAATTTAAATGACTCAAAATTTGCAAAATCACTCTATTGTTTTCATATTTGAACTATTAAATTTGTAATAAATTCAAAAGTAAGATATTTAAAATTTCCCTTAACCACCCCATCCTACAAAAATTCCATTCGTTCCTCACAAATTTACAATATATTTTCACAAATAATAAAATATTAAGAAAGAGGTAGTAGCAATAGTTTGTGCAATAGCTCAATGAAATACATCAGAAGCATTATTCCTTTAGAAGAAACAGTTCAAGGAAAGAAAGATAGGCTGAGGGATGTACAATGAAGGTGAGAGGCATTTTATCATTGTAATTACACTCTTCGAAAATTCTGTGTGCACTTGGTACTTTGAATTTGATAGATATTTTCATAAATTTTGGTGGTGTAATATATACATTTAACTATATTTGGCCCTATGTGACACTACACTTCATTATTCACAATTGGTTGGAAGTCTAAAAGTAATGATTTAATAAATGCATAATTTCTAGATAATAAATTACTGATTTTGAACATATTAGTTCATATTTTATTTCACACTATGTTTATTATCTGAGAATTGTTTGAAATAAATGATTAAAGTGTTTGTGTACGAAAAGTGTATTAGAAACATACTTTGAGAAGTTTTGAAGAAATGGCACAAGACAGGAATCTCCTAAAGCCCAACATGATGTGAAGTCTACCTCTTCCAAATTCTTCTGGTGTAAAGCCAGAGCTTCAACACATCCTGCACCTAACCAATGGCATCCTTGCATCCGAAGGCTGCGTAAACTCTATAAAGTTTAAAGACAACAAGAAAGCAATTATCGGCACATTTTCTTCAATCACGTTAATGCTTAGAAACTCAAATATTATATTTGGACAATTCCTTCACTGAATACTGTATTAATGTACATACATGACATGAAACGATTAATGGTTGCAAAGCTGCGTCTGTTATGCCCAAGCACCCACTGAGAGTTACATGTACCAGTTTGGGATTATTATGTAGTAAAGCTGAAAATAACTTATTATTTAACCAGCTACATCTGCTAACATTGAGACGCTGTAGTTTTTGACAATTCTGAAGCAGCACCTGTTGGAAAACCAACTTATAGTATTTAAAGTAGAAAACTAACTAGATACACATGCAAAATTTACATACAGCATATGCAGTCTTATTGAATGATTTGCAACAGGCAATGTTCACTTCTTTTATTGTTGACAGGTAAAAGTCAATCAATTGTCTAAATGATCTGGACACAGTTCTTAATCTAAAACAATCTTTCAGTGATAATAACGGCAATACATGTTCACAAAGAATGTCCTCCCAAGACAATTCTAGAAGTGTCAGATTCGTTACGTTACAGTCTGTATTTTCCTTCGGATACATTATTTTTGTGCAAGCATTCATAACCCAGAACGATTTGCCACTCTACCAACTGTAATTCTAATATTTATTTGATATTGTTATGCAAGTCAACAAATTTCACATTTAATTGCCCAGGTAATACACATGTTATCTATATTGACGGATCATCAAATTTCAGAAAGACGATAACGTGTGTAAGTTCTGTGACAAGCAGCTGACAAGTGATAAGGGCCTTTTAACTCCCATATGACGTGGTGGAAACCATTACAGTAGCGCGCTCTCCTGTAATACCTTCTTACAGGAACTAAAATACGAACTGCAGCCGACGATACAACGTCCGTGACTGCAGTTTGGGTTCACGAGACGCTGGTAGGCGCGTAATGTTACAAAAGATAGCGTCGATGTTCACGATTTCTTTAGAGGTTTCTTGTACGTATATAGTATGAATTATTGAACATTTAGAAGACATTTTTCGTATTTAGCACAAATAAGCCAATTTTTATGGGCGAACGTCGCCAAGATTAACCTGCAGCTGCTCCCGACGACACTAGCGCATCCAATCGTAGCACCCTCCAGCTTTGTAGTCTCGGTCCGAGACCAATATGTGATGATATAGCACGCCCATTCTATGACCACTCTTCAAGAAAGCAATGCAAAGAAGCAAATGACAACAAATGAGTCAGGTTGAATAAACACAACTAATTAGAAATTAACTCAACCCGTGCGATAATTCCGCAGTTTCCCTCCTTATTAATTAGTTTTAACGTGGACATTGCTTCAGATTGAAACCACATTGCTCTATTTTATATTAAACACCTCAAAATCATATACAGATTACACAGAACTCATTGTGGAATCCATGAAGTAAGATGTGTAAAGTAATTCCCCCCCCCATTATGACTGGAATCCCAATTATGAAACGTCGAGCCGTCTGAAGCAAGCTGTCAGCATGACAATATTCTTCGATTTATAAAGCGGATTTATAATGCATTTACTGACTTCTGGCTTTTCTTCAGATGCGATACCAAAAATCACGTCGTAACGAAGCTCCTGATTGGATAACTGAGTCCCAGCTGTTCAACTGTCAGAGAAAATTTGGCTTCAGGAAATATATGTAACTTTACAACACTATAACATATTTTCTAGACTGACGTCTGGGATATTGTTATTCAAATTATTGTTTATGATGTCGTGGCAAGAGGTCGATTCCTTCACGAAAGGCACTATGAGGGAAAAGAGCCCAAATTTGTTGCTGATTTGCCCTTGCAAATAGTTTTAATTACACCGGAGCGTGTTTATCGCGTAAATCGATCATTTTTAAAAGATTGATTTGTTAACGTTTAACATAAGTTCCACTGTAAACAAAACCGCTTTATCTTATCGCCGCCAGTATCTTGCCGTTCAACAATGAGCTTCTCAAATATCCATTGCGGCATTGTGCAAATTTAAATTAAGGTTTCCTGATTGCTTAAAATAAAATATATTGAAACATTGAGAATACAAATTGCAGACTGGAGTAAAAATACAATTCATATTGGCATTTTCAATAGTAATTGTAATTCAAATTAAATTATTTTTCATATCGAATCCATTCTGTTTTCGCAAAGTTGCATCATTAAGAGATACGAAGGCGAACATTTTTGTTGGTAGACATTTTAACTATGGATCTATTTAATCATTAGACTTAATTTAGAAGTAGACCACATTTTTGTTGGACATTTTTCCTGTACACCGAAAAATTTTGAATTTTGACTTAGAACTTTTTTGATTTGAACTTTCAAAAAATCAGGAATTTCCACTAACATGAGATCTGCACCATTTTCCTAAGCGTTCATTACGGTATCCAACAGTAAGATTTAATCAAAAAGATTGGTGCCATCTTTTGTAAATTTTGGAAATGTTCGAGGAGCATCATGTAATAATGCACACAAATTAAAATGTCGGATTCAAATTCAAAGGACCGCGATATCAGCCAGATCGATAGGGGAACTTCAATTTTGGACAAATCTGCTGAACTAATGATTCTCAAACTTTTCCCTCCGTTCCCGCCCCCTCCATGATATAATTACTCCCCTAATCTATTCATTCTATTAAATAAAGAAGCATTTTTCTTTTTAAAAAATCGTTACATTATTCTCAAATACCAAATTCATCAATAGAGTTTTGCATGACCAAAAAGTTTACATAATAAGAATGGGTGATAAACAGAACGGTATAAGTGACATTTTATAAATTCTGATAAATCTGTTTATTTAAGTCAATATCACTGTAAATTCGTGATGATTTGCTTCATCATTAAAACCAAAATTCAATTGTTCATTACAACCACGAAAATACATTGCCGCTGAAATAAAGCCTAAAATAAACACGATTTTTCTCAGGATTCATAAAATGTCACATACCATTCTGGTTTCCCCTATTCTTATTATGTATTAAAATACATGAAAATTATTCTTCACATTTTCGTTTATTTAAAAATTATTAAATAAGACAAGGTTCACTAAGCAACTAACAAGAATTTCAAGAAAATTGAGAATTTAAATTACAATATTCAGTGTGATGGATGAGCTTGCTTTTGACAAGAAAGTTTATCAAGACGTGGCGTTAGAGTAGAAATGGCCTCTCGAAGTTCTTTATTTACATTTAGCTTTGAACGGTACTGAGACTTCATAACTACCGTAGCTGAGAAACCGGTCTCGCACAAGTAAGTTGTTGCTAAAGGAATCAATTCTTTACTGCAATTTGGCTCAGCTTCGGATATTCCTTGCTAACCCAGTAAAGTTCCATTGTTCCCTTTTGGATCCCTAAGTAAATATAATCAAATCATTATCAGGTGAGAGATAGAGATCTGCTCAACCTCAGAAAATAGGAAATCCGCTACTTTTACAGTGAGTGTGTGTTTTTAGAGTAGTCATATCCAAAGTTTTCAAGAAGTCGTTCCCAGGCAATAATTTGTTTTTGTTTAGAAATTGTTTTCTACATGTTTTTGTTGAAATATTTACATGCAAATACGTAAAGGAAACATTAAACAATCATTTTATGGTTTTCGGAACTTCTGTTTATGCAGAGTGAGTGAAAGTTTATTTTACGATGTTTCCAATTGGGAACATTGGGGAGATAGGGTGTATTTTTGACCCAAGGATTTTTTGTTTGTATTATTACTTTTTTATTGTTTTTTTTTTTTTTGCAATTTATATTGCTAATAAGCTTTCTCATTTTATTATTTTCCCCCTCTCTCTCTCTCTCACACACACACACATTGTCTTTCAAGAAATATTTAAAAATTGAGGAAATTTCTGATGTAAAAGAAATTAGATAACGGGGTTGATCTACTTATTTTGCCTCCCGATGGTGGTGATGGGGTGCTTACTGACGAAGATGTGAGAAGTGCGTCAAAAGAAATGTATTTTCGATGAAATGAAAAGTGCAGATAAACTAGAGAGAGGTATTTGTGATTTTAAATGTAACGAAGAAATGTTGGCTGCCAAATGGAAAGATAACAAAGTAGAGTGCCTTTCTTCAAACTACGATATTGTTCACCCTCTCCGCAAGCAATGCGCTACGGACAAAGCCAAAAATGACACGTGCAAATACCGCAGCCTGCTCTAATTTCAAACTACAATTCGCATATGACAGGAGTAGATTTGTTATAAAAAACAACATTATTTTATGGATATAAAAGGTACAGGGATTCAAGTTAATTAAATATAAAGATCATTTTCAATAAATCACCGCGACGCCCTACCATATGGTCGCAAAGCCCCTTAGAGCCGCGATGCAGTTTGAAAACCTCTGGTTTATGCGCTAGCGTTCACTACAGACGGACGGACAGAGACGTTTTGCCGTGATAAATTTTTCGCTGCCGTAGACTAGGGGTGCGTTGATCAATTTTAACTTTCAAAAGCTTGTATTTCAATAAATTGACATCTTAAAAATCGGAAAAAAATATTTTAAAGTCAGTTTTTCTTGTTCTTTCGATTGCTGAACTTTATTTTTATTTATTTAGGAAATAAAAATTAAAAAGAAGTAATCTAAATTTAACGAATGTTGGGGTTAGTTTAAGAACGCTATTTTTTGTACGGAAATCGATAGAAACCCCTTGTAAGAAGCAATTACCGACAATATAAAACTATTCATAGTTTTGAAGATTACAACACAAATAAATAATTTTAAGGTCGCTTGGACAAATAAAAAATACATTTTAGAAGAAGTAAACTATATTTTTTAAAGTATTGCAATTCTTGTCAATAGTAATACATTAAAGAAAATGTTTGAATCTTGAACCGTGAAACCGTTTCCTGTCTTTTAAATATTTACAACAGCAAAAAAGCTAATCATAGTTAAAAAGAAAACTAGTTGCTTAGAAATATAAGCACTTTACAAAATTAACTAAACTTATAAATAACTGGCAAAATATTACCAATAAAAAACATTTCGAATATATTAATATCATAGGGAAATAGAAAAGTATTCTCAATTTTTAGTGGCTTTGGTGAAAACGTGACAATATCAGATTTGTCAATTTCTGAAATGCCATAGGAGATTCGTTTAAATTTAGTGGGTTTTCAGATGAAAAGCCTCAAGGACTAATGGATTTAGTTGTTTAATTTGGCACACATTTAAATGTTCTTTTCCCTCGCATGGTATAAAACGTAGCCAAAATAAATTTACCAACTTTCGTTTCTTTACCCTCTTCCATCACTGAAAGTTCTTGTTCATCAATATCAGTTGGAACTTCATTCTCTTCATTTTGTTCCATTCGACTCAATGTTCAGTCTTGACTCGATGTTGCTAGTTTGTAGGTTCTTTAATAACATCAAAAAATTCCTCATCCGCTTATCCTCTTTCGGCTGTCACAATATTCAAACATGGAGCCACAGTCAAACGCTTCTTTCTCCTTGCAGGCAGGTCGGCATTGCTCCCAAACCACTGTTCTTTCAAAAACAATGTGAGCGAACTTTCAATTTTTTGTGGTCTATCGTCTTTATTTTGTTTAGGCAATCGGTTCAGAACTTTTTATCCGTTTGAAAGGTAAATGCCTGTGGCACTGAATCCACTCATCAAGTTTCGTTTTATTCCTGAAGCGATGTCTTTGTAGGATGATTAAGCTCGTTTGCCACTTTGTCCATATTATCGATGACGTTTGATAGAAGATAAGGATTAGTATCTTTAGGCACAGTTGCAAGCTTTTGGTTTTGTATTTCCCATGAAGACAATATTTGACGCCACGCTGACTTCATTGGGCGAAATACAGCCTCATCTAAAGGTTGTGTAAGATGGGTGGAATTGGGGACCAAGCATACAAATTCTATGTTGTTTTCTCTACAAATGTTTAAGACATCATACATATGCGATGAAAAGTTGTCTACAATCAAAGCTTTCTTCCTGGAAACCTTTTGGCATGTGGTACTCGTAAGAAAGTTGTCCTGAACAAATTTCTAAATGAGGCTGAATCGATCCAGTCACTGACTGTTCTGTTGAATCTTGAACCTTGTGAGCAGCTTGGCTTGTCGTAGCATGACAGGGCTCGTCATTCACATTAAATTCATCATAGTTAAATAGATGAGATAGTGGAATGTCCTTAATATAATTTTGCAAATCGTCAAGAAACATTTAGAGTTTCACTGGATACAGATCCTCTTGCACATTTCATGTTAGTAGCACCACGTTGCGAGTAATCAGTTTTGTGCTTTTTAAGCAATAAATGTGCTCAATCAGTGCCAGGAAGTTTATTCTAACACTTGCTAACCAACCTTTCTTGTTTGTCCAATAAATATTACGCAAACTAGAATGGATATCTGCGTGTTGAATGCGTAAATCTAGAATGGAAGGAGGAAATCCCCAATACGCACATGTAACCACCGATTTTAGTATGCATGTTGTAAGAAAAACCACAAAAGATACTCAATCGGAATGGCGTTTATTTAACAAACTTTTAAATATACAGCTTGAGTAAGAGACGAGCGTAACACGTTCGACACCGCATGTCCGGCGTCCAGCGTTTGTGTATAGAGCGGCCTGAAGTCAGGCCGTTCAGGCCGTCACAGTTGTTTTTAGCGCGCTCGCAAGGTTGCGCCCTTTATCATACAATGCATTTTTTTCGGTGAACACAGTTTGAGCTCCAGCTTTCTTAATGCATTTTTCATGGTATTTGTTAAACAATGTACCGAGGGTATACGATAAATCTGAGACGCTTTTCTGAGAGGCATTTTTCCGTCAGCCACTGCCGTTAGGCATAGTTTAAATTACTTTGCGAATAATGTCTATAATCATGAGTGCCCAGGGGCTTCTTGTACTTTCTTGGCATGACACTGAAAAAACAACAAAAAAAAGTATCTACTGAAAAAAGTCGAGCACAAATTTATGAACCGTTGCTTCAATATAGTTTCATTGTATGGTGAGATTGATCAGTGATCAATTTAACCTCATGCACTGTGTCAATGACACCCACGGCATAATTGTGTATCTAATGGTAAATAAGTTATTATAAAATTGGACGAAGATAAAAACAATTGTCAGATATATTTCTGACAAATAAATGTATCTATGAAAATTGTAATTCGATTACCCCTTTTGTAGGTGTTGGAAATCCACTAAAACAAGTACTAATGTTTAAAATAAATTAAAATTCACTGTACATTTCTATCGACTTCACCATCTGTCATATTGTCACATCACACTATGTGATCCAACAATGCAAAAATAATAAGATGCATTCAGAAACTTAAAATATTAACCATTATGTCGCAGGAGGAAGTTTTGATCAAAGTAACCCCAGTCTACGGTATCGAGGACCCACAAAACATGGATTCTACCTATACCACGTGTAGAAGGATTTTTTCTATTTATTACCAACTGGATTTATTCACTTTTTCGTTACTAGGGCCCGGCAATAAGTTTTTCTGCCAAAAATTCGCCGTTTTCTGATGCAGAATTACCTCATTGAGGATTACATAACTCTCTTTGTTCAACGTACCGTCGTAAGAGCGAGAAAGTAAAAATGAACTTCTCCAATTTTCAAAATTAATGCGATTTTACGAAAAAATCTGACCTACGGCATATTATTAAGTCAATATTACTATACTTTATAAAAACACTGTTTTCACAATTATATTACAGCATTTGTTACCTTTGTATTATTATTATTATTATTATTATTATTATTATTGTTATTATACCTGTATTGTTATGGTACTTTGTAGTTTGGGCGTACTGTGCTTATGATGAGCGCCACCCAGACTTGATGAGTTTCCCGGCAGAGTGTTCTGCCTGATAGTACTTGCATGGTAAACGCAAGAAATCAAACGCTCTTAGATCATACGTTTCCCGCAAAGATCTTGTAACATTTATAACATCTTTGGTTTCCCGCCAATTTCTGGATTGCTGTGGAAATAAAGAGTATAAAATGCAATGTTTCTGTGCTTGAGCAGCTGGCAGAGAACTTCCGAAAGCTGAGCTGAGGGCAGAGAGTAGCTGGTGACCGTAGTGATCTGGTTGTGAGCTCCCCTATCAATTCTCATCAAATCTCAAACATTTCCGTACGCGACAGCCGGCACACCACGGTACACACTGGCACGGGAAGTTGCAAGAAACAATATTTCTTCTGTTCATGGGTGAAGTTGCATACACCCTGCTTTGTGCGATAATTAGCGAATATGCTGTAATGTATTATGGAGTAAAGTGTTTGTTTTTGTGAATGTTATTAAAATTATTTTCAAACTACTTCCTGTGTTGCATTTTTGATTGCCCAGTATATTTTTTTAGAGGCAATACTAGCATTCCTTCTTCACAATAAATACTATGAATTTACTCCAGGATCGCAATTTTAAGCTCAAGTATCAAAAGTGTAAATATAAAGTGAAAGTTTGGGAAAGCGAATTTAAGAAGAAAAATGGACATAATCCCACCAAGGTTTGTTCAATTGATTTGTTAAGTTATTCTAAATGCAACTCATTCACAAATTTACACAAATTTAGTATTGAAAAATGAATAATAAAGGTCTTGAAATTTACCAATTTTTAACTACGCTATAGCAGTGTATGCCGTGTAAAATATGTATTTAGACGGTGTTTAAATCCTTATATTTTCATACTCCTTCCCTTGTACCCAGGTACCTAACCTTTCTATAAATATTCAGACTGACTCAGATAGGTTTACTTCCTGTTGTAGTTTATTATATTTTGTCAGTCTACCAAGAAATATGATTTTGTATGTTTGCTGCTCTACTTTTCTTGTATCGAATTATTAGGTTGTTTTGTTGCATATCATTATTTTTGTTTATTTTTTAATTAAATTGAAATCTTCTGGTATTCATTTTATATTTTAATCTATTAATAAAAGGTAGTATAAATCTTTTGTTCTTCCTTTTCAACTAATAAATTTCCTCATTTTTTTAATTCGAAATTTTCATTATGTCTTTATGGAAACCATCTCTCCTCCCCCCACACATACACACACACACACACACACACACAATTTTATTCTTGTAATAAAAACTATTTAAGGTTCTTTCAATGACATTAGTATGTGTTTGTTTATCTACATATTTGCTTATCTTAATTATTTGTATTGTTTTTAGGATGATATTAGAGAGGCTCCAAGTTATGTTCGGGAGGCATATAAGAAGTATTATGACATGAAAACTAAAATGTTAGAAGAACTAGATATCCTAATAAGTGAAGAAGCTTTGTCTCCTAGAAATGAGCATGCAGACTCAAAAGCAGATACTACATCTGGGGCTCATATTAAAACAGGAGAAGCTAATGATAAAACTGAAATGCACAGAGTTGCTCTAGCTGATATACAGAATTGCCCTGAGACCACAGATGTGAACTTGCCTCAGAAAAAACCTGTTGCAAAGGAAGAAACAATTGAGCAAAAGCCTGTAAAAGAAAATGATGTATGGGGTGTTCATCTTAATGTTACTAAAACATCCTGTGAAAAGAAAAGTCTTCAACGCAGTTTTTCCTCCACCTTTGCTGAGAAACTCGCTAAAGGAGCTCAGTTTTGCAAACGTAATCCTAGAAAATCCCTTTCTTCCCGTAGTTCAAAAAATTGTAAGCCTGGTTTATTTAATACATTATCTCAGGATTGTGAAAGTGGAAGTTTGTCTGTATCAAATATTAGTTTTTCTCAGGAGAGCATAAGTGATTCTGTTTCTTTGTCTTGTTCTTTACCTTTTGAGTCCTGTAATTTAGAAAAAGACACTGCAAGTCCTATAAGTTTCTCATCGCAGTTGCAAACATTAAAATGTATTAGTGAAAAGAAAACGAGGAACAATCATCCCATAAGTATTGTTCAGAAGGCAGTTACTTCCAACAGCATTGATGTTAAAAGGAATGTTGATAAAGGTTGGCTAGAGAGATGTTCCATTACCTCTGTGAATGAAAAATGGTCTTTTATGAATGATAATGCTGTTGATATGTCATGGGACACTTCAGTAAGAGAAACAGATGCCAAAAAGTCTGTTTTCAACGAAAGTGCAGTAGGCAAGGCTAGTGAATGTGATGATATAGGAAGTGATGAAGAAATAATATATAGCAGTGATACAGAAAGTAGCCAGAGTAGATTTACGCTCAAGAGGAAGTCGTCATGCCTCTCTCTTAGTTCAGAATCAGCTTCGGAGAATATAGCTAAGAAACGTAAAGTGAATGAAGATGTTGATTGTTTTGAAGCACCATCACTTGTCAAATCAACTGATACATTTGTGAGCAATACCCAGGAAAATCATGTCATTGGTCCCCAAGAGGCTACAAGTAAGCCAAACATTTCAAATGAGACTCCCGCTGATAATCATGATGATAATTTGTCTCAAGCGACTATTGGAGAATTAGTAGATCATATAGTGGAAAAGAATGTGCAAAACAGAAAGAAAACAAATGATCCCCAGAAAAAACTGACAAAAAAAGAAATGTTAGAGAAAAAGATGGCTAGTGGTCAAGCAAATGAAAATTTTGTGAAGGTAAATTTGAAAAAGAAAGTTTACGTTCGTGGTAAAAAGACTATGACTTATTCTAAGCATAAGAAGTTACAGTGGAAAGCTAATAAGAGGTCAGGAACTTTGCGTGAAGATACTATTAATGAATGTGGTGTAAGGAAATGTTACAAGTGCGGAGATGCAGGACATTTTGCTCGAAATTGCCTGCAAAATGCAGGTGAGGTTTTAATACTATGGTTTCTATCTTTTGTATTTGTCTATAAACTGCAAAACCTTAAGAAATATAATTGTACAATACTTTTCTTACATCATGTTTGTAATATGTTAATGTTTGCCAGGTGATAAACTTATGCCTGAAAGCGAAGATGAAGAAGATTCTCAGTATCCTTCTCTTGAAGAAGCAGCAGCTATGGCTGCAAAGTGTAATGTACCTGCTCAGAGAATGTCAATGCAGGTATTACAGGTGAGGGAAAACTTATTGAAAATGAAGGATATAATTAATTATTTATTATTTTATTTTGTCCTGTCTTATTGCAGAACAAACCATTTAGATTTACTTCACGATGAAATATTATGTAAATTTTGAAATATAATTTTTGCATGAAATAAAGGCCATTGAAAAAAGTTGTTTGTTTTTTCCTTCAAAAACTGCTCCAAATTTTTAGCTTAGACTAAAATGATTAAAAAATTAACTATTGCAGGAAAGTCAGTTCTATTTTGTAAAACCTCTAGTTCCATTTTGCAATACAGAGCATAACACCAACTCTTGTTTTGTATAAGTCGAGAATTTATCATTCGAAGAATTTTTAAGTAGTTGCGAGGAATTGATCTAAGAATGCAAAATTAAATAAAATTAATAAATTAAATTGTTTTTTTATTTTATTTTATGATTTAATGAGTGGGAAATTTATGGATTTGGGGATTGTGTTAAAGGGAGAACGATTTTCCCAGTATAAAGAGTTAATTATTGCGACTTAAAAAAACTTGTTTTTTAAATGAATGCATGAAAGTGCGTTGAACACTATCTGCTGGACAATGCTGACATTCCAAAATTGAGTGCGAGACAAAAGTGAGAGAAATTTAAGAAAAATATTTTAAGAATGTGTTGATTATCCTGAAGTTGGTATAACACAATTCTGTAATAAACAATGTTTTGTGTGTTTCTGAATGTTTTAAATATGTGTCTTTTTTTCTCTCTTTTTAGGATTCACAATTAAGTTCTCATCAGGAAAATGAGAATGGACATCTTGGTGTGAAAGTACCCAATTATGTGTTAGAATCTTTAAGGCAGGAAGAAGAAAAGAAAGTAGTGGACCCCATTTATCCTCTTGGGAGTGACGGTAGTCCAATGGCACCCACTGAAGATGTATACTCTGTTTTACAAGAGTTTGGTCATACTGAGTTCCGCAGAGGTCAGGCAGAAGCAATTATGCGAATTCTATCAGGACTATCCACGTTAGTGACACTGTCTACTGGAACTGGCAAAAGTCTTTGTTATCAACTACCTGCTCTCATGTACGCAAGACATAATAAATGCATTACACTAGTTGTGTCACCTCTTGTGTCTTTGATGGAAGACCAGGTTTGTTATCTCTTGAGAAATTTTTATCTATATGTGGATTTTCTTTTTAGTTTGATGCTTAATTTGTAGTGATTCTGAATGTGTAAAGAATTCAGATGTAATGATACTATTATTATGTTTTTCTCGGTCTGCAATATATTTAATTTCTCCCCTCTGCTGGAAAACCTGTCTAGAAAATTAATTTTTCAAATGTTACAATATTTGTTAATTGCTGCCATGTTCTTTTTATTGTGTAATATGGTTATGTTTTATTACTCCCTATATCATATTTTGAGTTCTTCTGTGTTTTTGGCACATTTAATCTATATACTGAAAGACTAAGGAAAGAAAAATAAACTTTTTTCCTGACTTCATTCTACAAGTTATGACAATTAAGTTCATGAATTCACCCTAGTAAAAATGGTATTTATCTCTCGTGGAATTTCAGTTTTCTTAGCACTCTTATGTCAATTTTTTATCCACTTTGTTAAGCAATTTAGGAACATTTTCAGAATTTCTTGTTAGATCTGTCATTTTATGTTGGTAATATCATGGATTGTCATCACATTCCTACAATATTTCTTCCAGTTAAGAAAAGTAACAGCAGGCAAGGTAATGTGTTTCAGGAGAGATGTGACAATAATTGATGGCTACAAACTTGTTCACTCGCTGTAAATTAAGCCTTTTTTTGTGTGTGCGTGTATTTGGGTGCATGCATTTTTGTGTGTGATGACATACAGGTGCAAAGTTCTAATACTATTACACAGATGTGAGATCAGTTAATACTGCACTTTACAGTAAATTATGACTATGGTGTCTGTATTATCAAGAATTCTTCCTATCTGTTCCAATATTCCCCATATAAATATAAGAATAGGACAAATTATTGTTCTTATAGTTAGAAACCGTGAGTTTCTCTTCTAATTTCACTTTTGTTTCTGATGCAATTTTAATTTTTGTATATTTTATATTAAAAATATTAAAATTAAATTAACCAGTGAATAGATAATACTTAATAAAAAATCAGGACAACTGGTAACCCTATCCAAAGTGCATCAACAATTGTTGGCAAAGTTGTATTTCTTCTCAGATGTGTAAACTCATTCCAGAAGTCATCTTGATTAACTGTTTTGCTTTTTGATGTAAATGCGTGAAACTTTCCTGCTGATATCACTACAATGAGAGACATCATTTCATCTCCAATATTAGATTTCATTTCTCATCTCTTACTTTCATCTTTGCATTTCATCACTTTAATATCCATATATAGCATTAGAGTAACGTGTATCCATTCATAACTCAGCGACATCCAGTCCTCTAATTGAGACAAAAAGGTGTCATTCAGCATGTCTCAGTCTCCTGACTGGAAAGAAATAATTTTTTGCAGGTCAATTCAGAAAGGTTTAAGTAATGCCTCTAAAAATGATTTTTAAGTAAAGAAATGGAGTTTTTGGTGACTTACAGCATCTATGTAGATATCAAGAGCTCATTTGATTCTTTTTGGCAAGAGAAACTGATTGGTTCAATTATTAATTGGTTCTCTCTCTAGAATATTGTGAGAAAAAAACTAGGAAAACAAGTGTTTTGGATGGTTTCAATGCACCTATGAGTGCATTGGTGAAATGCTGTAAATTACTGTACCTTCTTTCTGACATATGAATCGTTAAGACTTGATTCATCAAATTGATGATCCTCCTTAACATTTTGACAGACTGTTTTCATTCATTGAAGACCTCATTCAGGGCTATTATGATACACAGCCTTTTCTTACTGAGGTTATCCTTTTTCTTAAACAAGGTTTTTTTTATATGAACTGCATCATGCGGCTAGTTGATTAATTCTATAATTATTATCAGAGGTCTGCTCCGTTCTGTACACCTTGATATCTCTTAACAGAAGTTTTCTCTCTCCTCAGAGCAGTCTTTTATAAACTGCTGCAGTAGGTCTTGTGGACTTTTTTATATTATACATTTTATTAATAAATTATTCTTTGATTCTAATGACAATTGGATGTCTTTGTCTGTTAAAGGTGGCAGGTTTACCAAAATGTATCAAAATTGCTTGCTTGCATTACAATCAGACACAATCACAGCGCAAAGAGATAATGGAGCAAGCCAAGGCAGGTGAATTGCATGCTTTGTTGGTGTCACCAGAAGCCATAATGAGGGGAGGGAAGAATGGCAATTTTGGGAGCATCATACAAGATTTACCTCCCATTGCTTTTGCCTGCATTGATGAAGCTCACTGTTTGTCACAGTGGTCACATAATTTTCGACCTTCATATCTTATGATATCTGAGGTAAACTTGTATAAATATTCAACTCTAAAATTCATTGTTCTAATGTGAAGTTTCTAAATAAAAATAGCAGACATTTCTTCCCTGTATTAACAATGCACCCTTTTCAGTGTCGATCGAGACTCTAGCTTATTTTTAAATACAAAAAAGCTTTGCTGGGAAGTTACATTCATACTCTTAGTTCTATTACATTAGAGCAAAACTTTCAAGTTTTAAAATTGTGAACAATTTTTAATGGCACTTTCATTCATAATTCAACAATGTATATCCAATTATTCATAGATGGGTAGAGATAATGATGCTCAAGAAAATGTGTGCAGTTTATACTAGTTCCCCATAGACATAGTTTTTATTGATTTTGGTGATAAATAAGATGTGCTTAAATCTAATTTCATAGCCTCAAAATTGAAGAAATAAGGTGTACTCCCATTTTTCCTAGAAATTAAATTCCTTACTAGATAAGTTAATTATTTATCCATTTTAACTATGGAAGGTTTTCATTTTGCCAATTTCATAAGATGGTACAACTGTTTCTTGAACTAAAATGGTTACATTTTGAATGTGTTAAATGAACATCTCAATACCACTAAGAGAATGAACATTCAAGGTGATGTACTTAATTCTTATTCTTAAATGCAAAGATAATCATACGCCATGAACCTTTAATGTTTCGAAGTCAATTATATCTTATGTTGCATACAATTTTTTGTTCATGTGGCTCTTAAAAAAACCCTTGTTTCTTAACAGGAATGTGGGAAAAGAGAATCCAACATACAGTTTTTGCCACTGAATACTCTTGGTTCCAGGTGCTGAGATCAAAATTAGGTGTTAAAACATTTCTAGGTTTAACAGCCACTGCAACATTTTCCACATGCAGAAGTATTTTAGAGCATCTTCAAATACCTGATGATGGCAAAGGAGTTATTAAAAATGTTCCTTTGCCTGATAATTTGGTGTTGACAGCCTCTTGTGATCGCCGCAGAGATGATGCACTGTTAACATTACTGTCTGGAGCACGTTTTGCAAGTTGTGATAGCATAATAGTGTATTGTATAAGGCGAACTGAATGTGAACGATTAGCAGTTTTACTACGTACATGTTTAAAGGTAATGTATTGAGTTGCAAGAGTTCTTATAGACACGGATATTGTACTGTATGATTTGATGTATATGTTATGGTTTATATTCAAATGTATCACCTAACCTAACCTCACAATTCTCTTCAGTTGATGCTGTGCTTCACATTGCTGAAAATTTGTAAGTTGGGGTGATGCAGCTTCGTCCTTCTCTCTTTGCAATTTACATAAAACAGCCTTATGTCTATGTAACATAATTTTCAATGCATATCTATGCCAAAATACTTCTTACGAACACACCAGTAGCTTCACTTGGTAATGCCAATGTTAGCTTGTCGACTTGGGCACACAGTTCAAAACAAGAATAGGGGCCAAGGAAGTTTCTGGGGTACTCTCTACCATTAAGCTTTTTTAGTTACATACACCATATTTTATTAGAAAACATAAAAAAATATTACAAGGAGAATACAATTATAACTCAATTAATTATTATATTTTATGTTGGACCATTTAGGCCGTTCCTAGATGGTTCGAGAGCCTCTTCCCCTTATGTAAAACAAATACCCAAATCGTCAGATTAAATAAGTCAAAATTCAAGGACTGAACATATTTATGAAAATAAATTGCTTGATTACAAAGGACTAAGAAGCCTCTGTCAAAATGTTTATGGGGCAATGCTTCTGTGCCCCCATCTTCCTCTGTGTGCACACATGTATGCTGGTTGCCCAAAATGAGCTACATAACATCAATTATAAAGCTTTATTTGAACTGCATGACTAATGTGGTTAATTCACGAATTTGATTTGAGCCATAACAGATATTAATAACATGAGCTAAAAGAAAGGTAGAATTTATGATGTCAGATAACATGGTTATTGAAAGAACTGTGGTTCATTCTCAACAAGTAAGAATATTAATTTATCTGTGATGCCCAAGGAAAAATATTGTTGACCTGACAGATATTCAAAAATTGAGCAATCTGTGATAGTCATGTGATGATGGTGTTTCAAAATTATCACTTCAGAAGTTTGTTGGAGATTTCAGATGAGAAGATGACACACTTATAATTCTGTTAGTGCACAGTAGAATGTATGAAGAGACAGCTTACATTTTTCCCTTACAAGCTTGCCACATTAGTTATGGGTCTATTGTTGTATGTAGTGCATTTAGAACTGGTTTGATATAATAAACAACAACGTTAATGGTAATTCCTTAAACATGATGTAGGAAGGACAGCGTCCTGAAGAAAAAAAAATTCGTTGTCAAGTGTCAACTAATGCTGAACCATATCATGCAGGACTTACTGCAGCAAGAAGAAGATTAGTACAGAAAAGATTTATGAGTGGTAAGAATCTCTAAATTTTTGTGTTGTGTGATGCAATGTTTTTCTTTGTATGTACTAGTTTTTGTTACTATTTTAATTGTTTTACAGGAAAAACTCGAATTGTCGTTGCCACAGTTGCATTTGGGATGGGGATAGATAAGAAAGATATTAGAGCTGTGATTCATTACAACATGCCACGAAACTTTGAAAGTTATGTTCAAGAAGTTGGACGAGCAGGCCGTGATGGCTTGCCAGCACACTGCCATTTGTTTTTGGATCCAGATGGAGCAGATTTGCAGGAACTCGGTCGCCATATATTTGCTAATTCAGTAGACCGTCATGTTATTAGAAAACTTCTACAGAGAGTGTTCGTGCCGTGTCGTTGCAATCGTTTAAAAAAGCTTGCAGAGAGTTCTTATTCAGAAGCTAATATTAATGGAGAGGAGAAAATTTCTTCTAATACATCAGTAAAATGTCCAGGACATGAAGTAGCTTTCAAAGTTAATGAAACTGTGCAAGCTTTAGATATACCTGAAGAAAATATTGCAACCATGCTGTGCTACTTAGAACTTCATCCAAAGAAATGGATTAAAGTTCTTTCACCTGTTTATACCATGTGCAAAGTTCAAAGTTATGGTGGCCCAAAGGCATTCAAAGAAGCTGCTAAAAATGTAAGTGTGCTACTTTTATTTCTGTCTTTTAAATTTGTTGATCCCAACTGGAGTGTTGTACCTTACTAGTTTTACAAAGTGCATATTTTTTAAATTGAATGTGCATGTTCAGCAATTTGACTGATTAAATGCAATTATTGTATATTACCAACTATTTTATAATACTCTCTTTAATGCTTCTCTTGGGGCAAGAAAAAGTTATGTAGCTTGTGGAAATGTGTAAATGAAATTACTTTTGCTTTTATAAGAAAACGCAAAACATTTATAACTCACTTTTGTTAAAAACCAAGTTTTGGTGAGTAGGTGGTGGACTTCTTTGGCTTTCCACTTCAAATTTTGCTGATCCTACCACTTTCTAAATACTTATCTAGAATAGGCTTCTCTCTTTTTGAATCCATCCAATTGAGATGAAAACTTATTTAAGCATTGCATACACAAAAATCACTACTATTCTTGGCCTTCATAGCAGTCTACAAAAGCATCCTGCTAAAGAACAGCAGTGCTATTTTAATTCCATTGAAGCACCTTAAAATTATCACCTTATTTAAAAATGTATGCCTCCTACAATTCATTTGTCATTTTCTCTCAATTAATGGTGATTTCAAAATTGAAAGCAAAAATATGTAGTCTATGGCACACATGAATATACAGAATATTTCTGCCTATGCCTAATCTCTAGTATTTTGAGTACTAGTTGGGATGAACAAATGTTTAAGGTCTACAGCCACATTATTCTCTTTTGCCCTCATCCTGGTAGGTAAAAAGTGTAAATGGCAGGAAATTTAAATTTCAAAAGTGTAAAAGCTGAGATAATGTAATATTAAGAACATGCAGAAATCGAGGGTACCAAAAAAAATTGGTGCAAAAGATGGGGGGAAATTCCATGGATGTAAATGCACTGCAATTTACTGTAATTTTATTATAACTCATGATCAGGGGTGTGTAAAACTTTACACAAAGTTGTAATTTGTGAAAAGAGAACTGAATGACAAATAAATCAAGTAGTCATTTTTCATGTGTAGATTGATTGTAATCCACAGAGAAATATTAGTGGTAATGTGTTAGCTCAGTACATGGTGAATTTTCTCTTCGTTTTTATGAATTCAACAAATGTTGAGGATCTGATTTTGTGGGTTTCTTTCTGTTGAATTTGAGCAGGAGCACCAAAAATTATGACATTACTTAAGTAACAATTCATTATTGTACGTGGTTTTGTTTCTTTGTGTTAGAGCCCTCCTCTAGCAATGGCTGTAGCACTTGATCAACGTCAAGGTATTGCTCATGAGAACAGCAATAAAATTGAATTTCCTGTTGTGGATGTGGCTGCAGCACTAAATTGGGACAGTGGCATTTTGAAAAGTCATTTGAAAAGCCTTGAATGGAACAATTGTAAGTCTAAAGCATTTCATGCTGTTTCATTAATTTGATTATATGCTGGTGGTGTGGGTGCAATAGTCGTTAGTTTGTAGATGAGTGTCAAATTTGTTTTTGTGTTTTAGTGGGGGGTAAATGGAAGCGTACTCGCATTTGTGTGGAGTTCCAAGAACTTGGATTTAGAGTATTGGCTCCAGGAATGTTACCTGCAGATGAACTTGATGAAGCATTGGATGTGCTTTATGAAAGAGTTGAGAGTCAGGAACGTGCATGTCTGCTGCAACTTCAATATGCATTTGATGCTTTCAAAAGGTATGTAGAAGATATTTTCATTTTTATAGTGTTGTTTAGAAGGAATAATATTTACTTGTTCCTTTGTTTCTAGTGTTGCTTATAAATCTTGCATCGAGTGTATGGATTCTTCAGAAGAGTCACGAAGTGATGGTTTGAAAAAACAGATTCGTGAATATTTTGAGCTACAATCATTGAATTTTGATATGAAAATAAAGGTATAGTATATTTCTTGCAGTAAATGAATAAAAAAAGTGTTCGATGTGGGTCAGTGCACTGATTATTTTTTCTGCATTTGTGAGATTCTGCATCTATTAAACCAAAACTCAACAATTCATTCTTTCTAATGACTCATTCTTTCTAAATCAGCCAAAAAGGTGGTGGCTTTTCAGTTTGGCAAAAAATATTGTCTTACTTTTGATTAAAAAATTGGATAGAATTGGAACTATTGATATTATGATGATGAAGAATGGCAACCTTAAAGACAAAAAACCTTGTTTTTCAGGAGAGAGAAAATAAATTTTTCAAAAATAATTCACCCACTCTTTGTCAAAATTATGGATGTTCTCTATTAATTATAAGTGAATTAACATATAAGTAAGAAATTAATTCCTGATCATGAAAGTTGACAATATTTTCAATTTATGTTGAAAAGTGAATGATCTGGTTGATGTCGTGGCCCCATAATTTGAAATGGAGGGGTACTTTGCATGAAGCTTCAAAAGCATCTTCAAATTTTTTTTTTTTAACTGGCTCCAAATTTTTTGATTAATTTTTTTATCAGAATTTGTATTTCAATTGTCAAAAAGTAAACCTTTTTATCTCTGAATTACTGGTGAATTTCGTGTTTATGTCTTGTTGCAGGAGGCATTAATGCATGAAGATCAAGTGATAGCTGACACTCGCCAACTTGTTTGCAGTTATCCTGACACCACATTCACAGGTCGAGCAGTAGCTCGAATATTCCATGGTATTGAAAGTCCATGTTTTCCAGCTCGATCTTGGGGTCGTTGTAAATATTGGAGAGCCCACCTGAATGAGGATTTCAAACTGTTGGTTAAAGTTGCCACTCGAGAAATTTTGTCTTTGAGATAAAATCACAGATATTCTTGATTTTGGTAATCAAAGAAACATTGCGAAAGTTTCGGGGGTCTGTTTGTGTTGATGTTTTCATAGTAAAGAGAGGAAAAGGCTGTCTAGCAGAAACAATTTTTCACTCTAAGTGTTCGTTCATAGGCTAGTCATATTTGATGTTGACTTACCATCAAATACAAGATATTAACAGGGCACAGAACTAAATGTAAGAAGTTACATTGGTTATAACATAGAAAACTAGGTTTTTATGTATGGAAATCTGTATTAACAGAGAACACTTTTTATGACAATAATCCCAATCCCAACTATATAAATTTTAATGTCTTCTTGCATGATTTTATGAGAATACGGTGAATTTTATGTTTAATTCTAAAAGTAATCGTTATGCATTTTTTTCTGAATTTATAATGGAATAGAGAATGTATCTGGGCTCTGTAAGCCATTTCTTGAAATAAGTAGATGGCTAATATTTACATGTTCAATGTTTATTTAAAAACAACAAGTGGGGATAATAACAGCCTTATATCTGAGAATCATTAAAACGCCCTTTGATATGGTTGTTTTTTTTACAATTATTTTAAACTATTTTAATAAAGCTTTGCTTTTGGATGAGGATATAATTCAGAAAAATATTTTACAAAGAGTTGTGTTAAATATAGTTCAACAAAATTTGTTATTTTAATAAAAAATTCAATTTTATTGTATTTGAACTTTCCTTGAATATAAGTCTTGTTCTAACATTTTAATACAAATTTAAGATTGACATTTGACGACTGAATGCATCATAGGACCATGTAATGCCGATTGTCTAATAAGTGTGGTTGTTGGGTTGATTTTCTTGAAAAGAAATCTCATTGTTAGTTTTAATCAGAAAATATTTTATTTAATAACAGGCTTTCACCTCAGTGAAATAACCTTGAAATGGGGAAGACTGAGACTCAAGTTGCAAAGATAAAGTTGTCAATGCACATTTTTCCCTGAATAGTTGAATAAACTTGTTGATTTTGTGAATGAAGATTTCAGAAACTGCATCATTACTTGCAAGTTAGATAATGCAATGTTGGAACAATTATAAACAGAAACATGTGCACTAGTTAAAAGTATATATTAATGTTCCTTGAAAAGTTTCTGAATTTATACATTTTTTTATCCAGTTAGAAACTTCATGTGACTTGTTGAACTCATTGTTGTGAAAATACTAGACGATCAAAGACAAAATGTAAATTTTAGACTTGAATTGGTAGCTGGGGCAAAATCTGTGTAACACATCCTGCTATATATTCTGTTGTTGACAGCCAGACAGCATTGGCAATTTGGAAAGTTAACAAATGCTCTTTTTTTAAATTAAGATATTCAGCGAAATAGAAAATAATTTCAATAGTGCTAGCTAATCCTGTAAAATGTGACTATAATCCAAGAAACATACAAATTTTGATAATTCCAAAGTAAAGAACCTAATGTAACCTACAAAAATTTGTGTACATTCTTGTTGTACAGTATATTACTGGATAGTGTGTTGAATTAAAGTATATTGTACAGTGACTATTGTACATTGTATGTTTGCTGAATGATTAATTGCCCAAGTTGTAAAAATTATTTCACAGAACCAAAATTATTATTACTACTTTAATTTAAAATTTCAGTATTCGTGAAATTATCACTTTACTCCAGTACAGTGGCAACTTTACCTTGGAAATTTTGAGATCTCAATTTTTCATTGTCATTGCTTACCACAATTTGTTCAAGTAATGGGATTAGAATCGGAAGCTAAATCAATATAAACTCTATTTTGCTCTGGAATAGTAATGTCATAAAAATTTGTGAGTGTATTTATGATCTTAGGATAATAAATGTTGGTTTTAAGGATTTTGATAATTTAATATGTGTATTCTTACCAAGTTTTTGTATTGAGTGTGTTCTTACGCAATGAAAATCCCTGTGATTTCGTTGTCTTCAGACCAAAGGAAGTGGGTCCCAATATGATATTTAAATCGTAAGAGGAGGAAGATACTGTTATCAAAATTTTATAGTAGTTCAAAAAATAAGATTCCCAACTTACAGTACATTATGTATTAATTACCAGATTTTAAATATATCGTGAAAGTACCTTTTCTTCTTGGATTGGATTTTAGTTTCTGTCTAACTGGTTTGTGTTCTGTAGATTAATTGTATACACAGTTATAAAATTGAATTAAAGAATCTGTTGTGGAAACAGTAACTTTTAGTACAAAAAAGAAGTACATGTGTTGAACTTCACTTTCTGAATTCCCTGTTCATTACATTAAATTTCATCTGATGAGGTCCGACTTGAATGGGCCCTTAAGGCTAATGTCAAATCAGAAAAGCGAGAGAAAGGTGATATCAATTTTTTATTTGAAACTATTGTAATATTTTAGGTTTATTAATATTTAATTTAAAACTTCACATACAAATTGTAAAAATTCAGTGCTGGAGTATTAAAATAACACAGGAAATGATTCTTCAATTTTTATGAATATGTACAATTGAAACAAAAAAAAAAAATTCAGGAAGTTCTTTTTAAGGAAATAAAGAATGAAAATTAATTATGTTGCACTGTATAAGAACTTCTGAGTCCTGACAATCTTCTACTCTTTTTAGAAAAAATTCACAATCTATGATATTAAAAAATACCATAACTTGTAGCCATCCATGCACCAGTGATTAAATAGCAACTCGGAACATTTGTGTGACCTTTACGAGTAATAAATTCATTGCTATCTTTACCCTTGGAGGCAGTCCAAACATCATAGCAAAGAATCTGATATTCCCTTTTCAGATATAAGGGCTGTCCTCAGTCTCTATGCTTCAGTCCTTCATTTTCGGTGGTGTAGCCAATGGCACTTTGAGACTTTTAGCGCATATAATTCTTTCATTGCAAGTAGGGTTCTCTGTGTGAAAACCACTAGTTAAGTAGTAACCTCTACTTGACTCAAAGCCTTTCACTTTATAACTGGACTGTCATTGGAATCCAGTATTTAGAAATATTAGCTCACTACGCTCACCCGTTCAACGTAAGAGCAGTAAGCCAATTCTTTCCTATGAGCTCGCAACAGTCTTTCGTCTTGCATTTTGCCAATCTTGATCATGAGCTTGTCTGATTGGCAATAGGCACAAAACACAGATGTGATGAGGTGCAAAGGAGATCTGTAAACTAGCTTTGAAGTTCTTGGAAGAAGTTTGTTCTTTTTGTGCACATAGGCATGGCAAATGAGCTCAAATACAATCAACAGCACACTTGCCCATGCTGGGAACAAAAATACTGTTGGAAGCATGAAAAGTATTGGACTCATGTTTGCTGAGCAAGCCATTTTGTGTTGCAAGCAGTTTATATGAGACATTTTGGATACTGGAGCTTTAGGCGCTCCCGCAAATGACTGATCAAATTTGATATCACCAATCTCCTTCTTTGTTAGGATACTTTTGGGTATCTGGAAGGGCTTCTTTTTAGCAGTAGGCTGTCCTTCTGGCTCCCCAGTCTCAGCATCCGTGGGTTGAGAGGGAGGCGGTGGTTGAGGAGGATGGCGGTGTGGACATGGCTGAAGAGCAGTCACTGCCACCTCTTCACCAGTCTCATGATCCAGACATGGTTCTCCAGTTTCCATGTCTTCCTCACGAACAAGTAATTGCATCCCAACTGCAAAAAAGAAAAAACGAAGTTAATATGACATTGTTAGTAGACTAAGAGAAGAATAAACATAGTTATTAGTTCTTGGCTGTCCAGAAGGTATTGCATCCTAGCGAAATGCATTTCGTCTCCGAGGAAGGCCACACTAGGGCATGCTAAACGACAATGTGCCAGGATGCGGCGTCTTCCAGTCAGCCAAGTATTTATTAGTTCCGACCGCGAAACTGCTTTCATGCGAATAATTAGGTTCAGAAATATTTGCAATTATCTGATTGTCCCTTCAGGTTCATCCTTCAAACGAGATAGAATTTAATATTGTTGGATTACCTCTTACAATTATATTGAAAGAGGATAATTATTACACCAAGGAAAATATATTTTAAGTCAAGTTTAAACAATAACTATCCATGAAGGAATTTATTTATAAACGACAATAAAATTCGAAGGTTTATTAATAAATTTCGTGTTGAATAATTTCAGTCAAGTAAGATATTTCGTGAATTTGCATTATTACGATGTCCGTAATTCTGGAGTTGGGTTTAAAGAAATGGACAAGTCAGATCGTCAGTTTATGAGGGTCAATATTTACTGGTAAGCACTGAATAATTCCAGAGATTTACATTTTTAGATCTATTCTTGTTAGATACAAAGAATACTATTCTTTTGTAACCAACTGGTGTCACTCCCGATGAACAATTTTTAATTCTACACTTTTTTAACACAATGCGAAAATTTTAAAGCAACTCACGCGCAGTCCTAGGAACTGCTCGCGAGTGCATTTGTCTGCTGCACTTGAATCCCCTCCTGAATACCAGCTGGCATGCCACCGAGTGGACACACCTCTTTCCGGCCCACGCAAGGCCTAATCGTCCGGCCGCCTCATCCGCACGTCCCCACGCCGCCTCCTTTTTACCCACGACCGAAAGGCGCCTTGCAATTATGTCTGAATTATATAAGCAAGAGTGACCTTCGCGTTGAAGAGGAAGCAAAAAATCTGGACTGCGGGCACGTGTCATACGGAGAAGTTCTCAGGGATAAGATTGTTCTGTTGTATTGTCAGACCTATGTCCGGGTACGTTTTTGTACCAAGTACCTCCCTCATTCGTGAAGAATTAAAGTTCAAAAGAAAATGGATTACTAGCTTTGTGGTGTGGCATGGATATGTTTATTTTTTCAACTGACTTGCTGTTGGTTAGTGATTAGTTTGACCTAAAGCCTAAAACACTGAATTTTAGGTACCGCTATTATAATTACTTAAATTTTTGGGAGGACCGCCTCCCTTGTCCTATTCAATATACATTTCGTTTCAAATCTAAATTTCGTAGGTGCATTTTAATGGTGATATTTAGCAGTATGCTGTCTGCCTTTATAAAGTGCTTATAAATTGTGTGCCCTTTTTGTTTCTAGAGAAAAAGATTAAAAGTATTCGTATTTTCACAAAATTATATCACCAACAAATTAGTATTTTCACTATAACGAAATTGGGCTTTAGAGATAAAGATGCTCGTTTCACAAAGTGTCTGCATGTTTCGAAAAACGTCATCAAAAAGCTAGTGGTGCACTTACTTTCCCGCATTTTAACTTGCGTAATAAATTGTTGGCGCAGCCCGCCTGACCTATGCGAAATTCCCGCGCATTTGAACTATTTTCAGTCAGCCACTGGTTACCTCCTTAGGGATCGCCTGAATAAATGCCTGTGTGAGGTTTTCCAAACAGCAAAAGCTATTTGCCTTTGCTGGAATTTGAACTTAAGAGTTACTTTAGTGAACTTTAGTGTTGGCTACACAATTCACGACCCCGACACAAAATAATATGTTACTGGTTCATTCATCAATTTTTGAAAATTCAAAACTTTTTAGGAAAATAGCGCTAGTACTGTAAAATTAAGTGTATTGGGTTTTATCATTTCAAAAAAGTAAAGAAAAAATACCTAGTTTGAAAAATGAATAATAAAGCTCTTTGATAGGCTCGAAGGTCGAATTATACTGTTTGAGAGGTATTAATGGAAATTGGACATACGCTATATTTATTAAAAAAGGTAACCCGAAGAGAGATTCGGTCAAAATTTTATAAAACGCTTGCCATTCCAATATTAGCATATGGATGCGAAAATTGGACGTTAAATACATCAAAAAGAAAAATTCAAACTAGCGAAGTGAAGTACCTGCGAAGTTTTGCCAACTATACTTTCTTAGATCATAAGAAAAATGTTTTGTTCTGATTTCGTGAAGTTTAACAAATTATTTCGAAGTTTTGACAAATTCAGTAATATAATATTTTATTCATGAACAATGGTGTCTTGTGGCACGCCTTCAACCCAGGGCGAAAATCATTAACCTAAATTACATTAAATAAGCATTTTTCAGTCAATGGTTCACTTCATTTAAAACATTTATTTTCTCACCACGTGTCCTTAGGAAGCTGCACACATCTCTCCGTCATGCGTCCCAATCTTCATAGAGTGGTTCTAACAGACCATACTCATAAGACAAATTAAACCCAAATTCCGGATGTGTGCACCGAATTAGAGCTCAAAAGTTTATCTGCGCTACCTATGCGGGATACTACATCTATCCGCATAACTACACCCATATCATGGTAAACAAAAAATTAAAAAACCTTTTCGTCTCAAGAACTCTGAAAATGTATTTTACCACTGAAAGCTCGACTTCGAATTTTTTAACGAATTCAATATTTTTCCTCTATACCTCCCGGTCAGAGTCGCTGCAGAACCAGCGGAATGCCGGCTTTGAGCTACCCCACCCGGTGTATTGAGCAGATAGATATCAGCGATAATAATGATAGAACAATTGCGTTGCGTGCATTGAGAGCCAGGAGAAGCGAGAGAGTCCCGAGAAAATACGCCGAGAACTCGCCATGTCGACCTCAAAATCTATATGAAACACACGGGGTTTGAAACCAGGCTCCAGCGGCTGAGCTGCTGTAAATGCGCATGCCATCCCCCTCATGTATTTCCGTCGAGATGGATTTTTCGCACGATTTCAATACAGGTCGGCAATACGGCATTCCCAGAGTATGTCGAAGCCATTTGACAAATAAGTCAATTTCGGTCGTACGTAGTGAGGAATTGAGCGCATGGATGCAACCTGCAGCAAATATTTATTATAGGCAGGGGTAGAACCAGCCGATCATTTGGAGGGGGCATCGTAGATTGTTGTTAAATAATAAACATATTTGTTATATTTTTTTGCTATTTAACGTCGTATCAACATCTAGGTCATTAGCGACCAGTATTGCATTTAACGGTATGGTAACTGGGAAGATGACATGAAATGGTGATGATCGGGAGTGAAAGGACGAACACAAATACAACCATGCGCTGTTATATTGTACATTATTTATGTACTGTAGATTTGATACTATACAAATTAGTGTTTAAATAATTACATAATTCGGACATTAATAAATATTTAAATCAATTTTGCCAAATAAAAACGGAAACTCTATGCATTTTGGCCCCTCCCGCGAGTTCGCCAGTGATTGTAGTATAGGTATTATATCGGCACGTTTTCTTGAGCCCCGGAATATCTACCCCCTCCTTTCCCTACATTAATTGTAGTGATAGCAATGAGAGTTGTAGTCAAAATCTGGTGGCGAGGAAAGATCGCTCCTTTTATCAAAATAACCAAACTCCCCACTTCTCTCGCATCTAGCGAAGCGATGGCTCGAGAAAACGTGCGCGGATAACACCGCACGTGTGTGGCGTGCGAACGGTGTGGCGCGGCGCCGCGAGCGCTGGCCGTACTTCCCCCCGCCGCCGCTCAACGCCTCTCGTTGCTCTTATTGGGCCCCGTTCGCACCTCAAGGCCTCTGGCGGCGCGGCGCGACGCGGGCGTCCGCGAGGAAGGGGTTCATTAAGAGGCCTTTGAAGTGCGGGGCGGGGGAGTCTCCTCCCTCCCCCCTGCGGAGGCCAAGGGCACGTCCCTCCCCCTGCCCCGCCCCCACCCGCGCTCCGCGCGCACACTCGCTTCCACGTGTTTCGCCAATATCGAGTGCGTGCAATGTCACCTTTTCACACTCCAAGCACAACAGCACAAGAAACTTCAGTGGTGTGAAATGGCGGATTGTTTATCTTCACGGAAAATCCACACATGGACATTTGTCGAACTTCGAAATGGCTGTCTGCACAATCGACCGTTTAAAATATGGAATGTCTTCAATGCAGGGGCGATTTGTAACAAAAATGTATATGTTTTTAACACCCTCCCTTGTTTGGTTTAGTTTCTTTTCGTCTTCAGTTCTACACCCAAATTTATCAAGCTAAACGTTCATCATGTTATGTAACTTTTAAAAATAAAGCAGATCAATAATAGGAACAAATTTTGGCTTTTAATTCTCAAAACTTCGAAGCCCTCATCATTAAAACAAATGACTCTCATAAAACTATTCAGTGGCAGCTGATTGGAGTTTCCTAGTGTCTATTTTGAGCATTAATTTGCGGCACGTCTCCTCGAGCTTAATGTTGTGAGGAAAAGAAACGGCGTGGGCTGCGCAAGAAGCGCAATCAAAGCGAGCCGGGGCTTCAGGGGACGGATTAGTCCTTCGGCCTTCAACGCGCGAAACGAGGAGTTGCTGACGGGAGTAACGACGGCGGCGAACTTCTGCCCGGAGCCCCACGACCTTGGAGGGGGCGTGGCCGTGGCGACGAAAACACTTGGGCCACTGCACACAGAATGCAATGTCAATTGTTGCGAACAATATAGGAAATAGTTAACATTCATTGGAGTCACCTCCGGAAGGACGAGAGGGACACGCCCCTCCCATATTTTTTGGTGCTACCTCAGACCGGGAGGTCTTAGGTTCGAGTTCCCCGACGGTGGCGGAATTTTCGACAATAGCTTGTCAGCTAGGTCAATTCAGTCGCTGTCAAGAGGATAATTCTAGCAGCCGGCAGTTTTCTGTGATTTTTCCTATCAACACCAGGCGAATGCCTGAGCAATACCCTAACATAGTGACCATGGATCGCGATCTTTCCTTCCACTTCCATGTCATCCTAATCCCCTTCTTACACACACACACTAACATGCACTATAACACATGCCGAGAGACCGGTCGGGAGCTTAGAGCTTGTCCCGACTGGGGCGGTGCCTCGCTGGTGGAAAATAATTGGTTGGGAGAAATCCCGCCATCCAGAGGGGGAAGATCATACTACAGCTAGAATCAGTAGATGTTTGGCTGTCAGCGAGACGCCACCTCCTCGACACAGGCTCCAACTTTTCTGCCACCTTCCTGAGGGCAAAATGCGAGGTCTTTCTGATTTCGCCCTGAGGAAGGTCCCAGAATTGCTGCCGAAACGTTGGTCCCTTGTGTCTAGGACGCGGCGCCTCCCAGACAGTCTCCAAGTAGCTATCAACCAATCACTCGATCTCTGGAGAGACGAGGAGTGTCGACGTTCCGAGGGGGTGGGCGTGTGGGTCGCTGGGGCCGCCGCAGCCCCCCTCAACCCAGGGCTTGGAGGGGCGCGCCGCGATACCGCGAATGTGATAGCAGCGTGCAGAGCCAACGAACGCACGCCGGCACAAACAGCTCAGATAAGGATTGCGTCAGAGCCAAGCGTCAAGCCTAGTTGACACCTTTGCTTCCATTAAGTATCTAATCTTTCGCCTACCTCTTAATGTCGCTCTGGCAAATAGCTTGCACAAATATCTCCATTCAGTACATTTAAAATTCAGTTTTGAAATGGTAAATTTTCCTGTTTGTTTTCGTACTCATTTTGATAGCGAGGAGACAAATCTAACCCAGTAAATTTAAGCGGTTT